CTGTGATCTGTTGGGGATGGGGTCAGAGAAGACCTCTGTGATCTGTTGGGGATGGGGTCAGAGAAGTCCTCTGTGATCTGTTGGGGATGGGGTCAGAGAAGTCCTCTGTGATCTGTTGGGGATGGGGTCAGAGAAGACCTCTGTGATCTGTTGGGGATGGGGTCAGAGAAGACCTCTGTGATCTGTTGGGGATGGGGTCAGAGAAGAAAGGGGGACCGCAGCGGGCTTTCTGCCGCAGAGCTGGGCATGAGAAGGTGGGCACAGGGGCTGGAACTTGAGCAGAGAGGAAGACCTGCAGTCAGCCTACCTGGCTCCCAGGCAGGCTTGGCCCTTGGGTCAGCAGGGGTGCCTGCTGGGGTTGGAGGCAGGGAGAAAGCAATGAGGGTAGGGGGAGGTTAAAAAGGGAAGATCTGTGGCATCCACAGGAGGTGAGGGAGGGGGGGTGGCAAGGAAGGCTGCCACAGGTGTTCTACAGAGCTGGGGATGAGACTGGGGAATTGGATCTGGGGGAACAGGGAGAGATGGGGATCTGCCTACTTTTCATTTTCAGTTACGCAGTTTCATGAAATCACTATAAGAAGAAATGGACTTTTCTACAGGAAATGCACTTGGTGAAACTGGAGAATTATAAAAATAGGTACTCATGTATGTGTGGCCCACCTTCCATGTTTAGTTACAGAGTAATTCTCGGCTAGAAATAAACATTCATTTTTCAATTTATTTTGAGACAGGTTTTCCTCCAAGGCTGACCTAGAGCTCTGGGTGTAGCTCAGGCTGGTGTTCCTTCTGCTTCTGCCCCTTGAAAGCTGGGACTGTAGGTGTGAGCTACCGTGCCTTGCTAGGGTTAACTGTCTAAAAAGCAGATCCCCCTAGTTAGCATTTGTATCTTTTTTTTTTCTAAAGATGCTGAAGTGCATCTCTCTCTCTCTCTCTCTCTCTCTCTCTCTCTCTCTCTCTCTCTCTCTCTCTCTCTCTTTAAAGATTTATTTATTTATTATGTATACAGAAGAGGATGCCAGATCTCATTACAGATGGTTGTGAGCCACCATGTGGTTGCTGGGAATTGAACTCAGGACCTCAGGAAGAGCAGTCAGTGCTCTTAACCTCTGAGCCATCTCTCCAGTCCCCCTTTTTTTGAGGGGGAGGGTGTTTCTCTGTAGCTTTGAAGCCTGTCCTGGACTAGCTCTGTAGACCAGGCTGGCCTCCAACTCACAGAGATCCACCTGCCTCTGCCTCCCAAGTGCTGGGATTAAAGGCATGAGCCACCACCACCCAGCAGGTATATTTCTAATCTCCAGAGTTATTTTGTTACCACAATGGCTTTAACAACAATAATAACAACCTTAATTTTTTTTTATCTAAGAGTGTGTGTGTGTGTGTGTGTGTGTGTGTGTGTGTGTGTGTGTGTGTTTTGCCTGCAAATATGACTGCACCATGTGTGCAGTACCCGTGCAGGCCAGAAGAGGGCATCAGATTCCCCCAGGAATGGTGTTACAGATGGTTGTGAGCCACAGTATGGGTGCTGGGAATTAACCTGTGTCCTCTAGAAGAGCAGCCAGTGCTCTTAACCACTGGGCCATCTCTCCAGCTCCCCATGATGGCTTTTAAAAGGCACTGGGAATATATTTGAAGTTGCTCAGCACTAGGTACATTACCTACCGTAAGAGATAGCCACAGTCAGTGTTTTCAGTCCTGTCAGAATCCTCAGAGGATCGGTTGCAGGATTATCTCTTACACAAATGCCAAAGTATCTGCATATGTCCTGCCCATACCCTTCTGGAGGCTTGAAATCATCTCTGTTACTGTACCCAACACTGGGCAAATCCTGTGTAAGAAAACGCCTGTAAGCGTTCAGTGTTGGCGATTTTCCAGATTGTGAGTCTGCTCTTGGTTGAAGCCTTGTATGTGGAACCAGTGTTGTGAGTGTGTAGCCAGGGCCAGCCTTTACGTTTACTTCATCAGCTTCACAGTTGACTTGTGAACCTTGACTCTATTGAGTTTGAGACCAGCCTAAGTCAGCGATCTTGAAAAAAGGTATTAATAAATACTTTTACTTCATTTTCAACCATCTAAAAACCTGGGGTCAGTGAGTAAAGGCACTTGTTAAGGTTAAGACACAGGGCTGGGAGATGGCTCAGGGGTTGTTGAAAGCACTGGAGGCTCTTCTGGAGGACCCGGGTTCAATTCCCAGCACCCACATGGCAGCTCACAACTGTCTGTAACTCCTGTTCCAGGGGATCCAACACCCTGACAGACACATACATGCAGACAAAACAGCAATGCACATAATATACAAATGAATAATTAAGACATAACAGCGACATTTCTGTATATTACCTATGTTTCAATCAGAAAAGTCAAGATTTTTGTTGTTCGTTTTTTGTTTTAACTTCTCAGTGAAGTCATGGCTACACAACTAAAACTCTAGACTTGAAACCACTTATGTGTACAGTATTGCCATTATTTAAATTTTTAAGCAAGAGGAAAAAAAAACTTATAAGTGGTGAGCTTTTGTAAAGGCTATTTTGGTGGTGGAATAGCAGATCATGGTCTGCTGACTCACTATTCTTACTAACCACGAGGTAAGTGTGATCTTAAAATGGCTGGTCTTGGGGCTGGAGAGATGGCTTAGAGGTTAAGAGCACTGGCTGTTCTTCCAGAGGTCCTGAGTTCAATTCCCAGCAACCACATGGAAAAAAAAAAAAAAAAAAGGCTAGTCTTGTTTTTAAACACTGATTAGGGAGGGGTGGATAATGCACGGCACACATATGGGAATGGGGGTTGGTGCATGTACCATGGCACACATATAGGATTTGGGGAGGGGGCTATAGATAGTGCATGTACCACGGCACACACATGGGAATGGGGGAGAATAGTGTATGTACTACGGCACATGTACAGAAGTACAATTTGTAAGTGGTGGTTTCCTCCAGCTGGGTGTGGTGACCCACACCGTTAAACCGTTAATTGCAGAGGCAGGTGGATCTCTGAGTTTTATCCAGGGCAGCTGGTAAAGTCCTGTCTAAAAGAAAAAGAGGGAATTTTTTTTCCTACCATGTAGGTCTTAGGAATCACATTCAGGTCACCAGGCTTGGGGACAAGTGCCTTTACTCACTGACCCCAGGTTTTTAGATGGTTGAAAATGAAGTAAAAGTATTTATTAATACCTTTTTTCAAGATTGCTGACTTAGGCTGGTCTCAAACTCAATATAGTCAAGAATGACGTTGAACTTCTGGCTTCCCAGTGTTGGGATTACAGGCATGCATCACCACGCCTGCTTTATGGAGTGCTAAGGGCTCAAACCTGTGCCTCATGTATGCTGGGCAAGCATCCTGCCGACACCCCCAGCCCTGACATGTCCATAGTTTCATTAGAACAGTTAGTTATGTTCTTTCAGTTATGGACCATGTGGGGTTGTCTTTGCACTACTGCTACAGTGTTCTGATGTTCTGAGCAGATCGGCTCTGCCAGGAGAGTCAAAAGTCGCTGCAGGCACTCAGCTGAAGGGGGGTGGCTACACAGCACCCCCACAACCACAGCATAGCCACAGCACACCTACAGGACACCCACAGCCACAGCACAGCTCACTTGGACTCAGGTGCTGGCAGACATTCTGGGGTCTCCAAATACAGTAAAGCTCGTCAGTGTATTTCCTATGGTATCTACTTAATATTTTTAAACTTCAATATTCTCTAAAGGTCCTAAAATCTGTGCCAAGATATAATTCATGGACTATTTTAGCGTGACCCAAAAGTTAATTTTGCTCACTCCCTAGCTGCTGCGGGTGCACCAGTTTCCTCCATGCGTTACTGATTAAGTGCCTACCAACTAGGCCAGTGGTTCCCTGCTGCTGCCGACGCCGCCTCCGCCACTGCTCAGCAAGACCTTGGAGGTCTTTGATCTAGGTGGGGCTTTCCCCAGATCCTGATGACTTCACAACACATTGTGTGTTGTCTCCACGGGCCAGAAGCCTTCCCCGTGCCTGTCCAGATGAGTGCAGACAACCACCGTTGGGCTTTTGAAGGCTCGTATGACTAGGGTTCTGCTCTTCCTGGATTCAAACGTTCAAATCTCTATGTAGAATTTTAGGAAAGGGAACACGGCCTCTCCCCATCCTTACATGCGAACAGCACTGTGCTTCATGGAGGACTCCCACAGCCGGAAGAACTCTTGGAGGACCGCCCAGGGCCCACACAGTTCTTCCTCCGCTGCACATCACCCTCCACAGCGGTGTGCACAGAACGCTCTTGATAAAGAGCTCGAGGTTCTGTTGTCTGAGCGGCAAAGGCAGTCACAAGGCTTTCTTTGTGGGGGTGTTTCTCTGTAGTGGCTTGGTTGGCTTCTAAGACGTTGAAGGTGGAGTCAGGTATGAGTTGTGCCCTCTTCAGCGCCCACACTAAAACTGGAATGGTAGAGAGATCAGCACGGGCCCTGTGCAAGGACACACAAAAGTTAGTGAAGTGATCCGTACTTTTAACAAGTACCTTGTGTGCTAATTTTAAAAGCAGAATTTTTGAAGACTAAGAAAAAGGAAAGGGCTTATTTCGCACCAGCCTGACGAGACTGTCTCTGCTTTCACTTCTTGGAACTGAAGTCATTTGTGTTAGTGAGCTTAGTAGGAAGCCTGGCACTTTAAAGCATGCCATAACCAGACATGTGGCGTGTGACCCCAGGTCTTGGGAGGTGGAGGCGAGACGATTTGGAGCTCAAGGTCATCCTCAGCTATGTAAGAATTTTGTTTGTCTAAACAAACAAAAGCAATAATAAAATGTGGCACCATAATAGCTTTCGAGCTCTTGTAATGCTTAACTTATTTCACAGGAGCATCATAAAGTTAATTACATGATGGTATCATAATTGCTAAACGTCCTTACTGAATATCAAAAACTTCCAGAAACTGGCAAACAAAACTGACTTTCTTAGGTGTGCTTTGGAATGAACTTCTGTTGCCTTTTGGTTTTGTTTTGATACAAAATTTTTCTACATAGCTCAGGTAGGC